GTGTGTGTGTGTGTGTGTGTGTAGGTCAGAAAGAAAACTTGGACTTGTTTCCATCATGTGGGTTCTGAGGATAAAACACAGGTCTTTGGGTTTAGCTAAGGGATGATTTTCCACAGTTTGGTCTTATGGGTGGATTTGTGGAAGCCCTGGTGCCCAATGCAGACCATCAGAGCCCCATTCCATCACTGTGTCCTTCCCACCAGTTCTGTCCCTTGAGCATCTGGGTGGCTTGAAGATACAAATTACAGAGGCCATGGGGTTGGGGTGTGTGTTTTGTCAGCTTCTGGTCTATTTCCAGTTTGTTTCAAGGACCACAGCCGTGGGGTTTGTGGTTTTGTTGTGCTGTGTAGTAAGTAGTTCACAGTTGCTGTTTTAATGTGAATTAGTTTCCAACATTTAAAAATAGGGATTTTTTTTTCAAAGCCAGATTTCCTGCTGTTCTGTTATTAAAAAAAAAAAAAAAAAAAAAAAAACTGAAGACCTGATAATATGAGTCTATTCCCACATGGTACCAGTTGATTAGAGTGGAGTAGTGTATTCTGCCTTTAAACAGGCTGTGTACTTTGTAGCTCACTGTAGTCCCCAGTGGCCAGCTCTGTTCAAAGCTTAGCCTGGTGAGCATCACATTTGAGACCTCATTCCGTCCCAAAGCTTTGCTGGAAGAACCTAGATTGATGTTTAGTCAGCAGTCATTGGGGATATAGCCTTGTTGCTTAGGGAAAGTAACAGCCCAGTAAAAAATTTGATGGGTAGAAATGTGCAGTTTTTGCCTGAGAATTTGGTCATCTTTTTGCTGTAAATGCTTTTGGCATATCAAACCTCCCATCACAAATGTTCCACCGAAACAACAGTAACATGGTCTAGTATCGAATGAGCTGTCAACCAGTGGAGGAATGATTTGCTCCTACTCCCGAGAGATGTCCACCCAGCCTCTGCTTGACCACTTCCAACAGCCAGGCACTTATTACCTCCTCACATGGTGGCTAGCTCCATCCTTGAACAGATCCATTATATAGAAAGTCTTTCTTGTGTTGAAGCATCTGGTGCCTTCTTGGGACCTGAAGCCACACATGTTGGAGCAAGGAGGGCAAGTACTGCTTCTAGGCACAGAGCTTCCACTCACTCACCCTGCATCCAGGGCAGCACAGTGCTTTCTTGCTGTGAGTGAGTAGAAAGAAGCCTCAATTCTGGGGGAAAAATTTTATTTTTATTTTTATATTTTTGGTTTCTTTCAAGATAGGTGTTCTCTGTGTAGTCCTAGCTGTTATGGAACTTGGTATATAGACCAGGCTGGCCTTGAATTCAGAAATCCACCTGCCTTTGCCGCCGGAATACTGGAATTAAAGGCTGAAAATTGTTTTTTAAAATGTCAAAAAATAGTGTGTATTCATTTGTATCTAATGAAATGGTATAAAATTTAGAGTATTAAGGCCAGCCTGGGTTACAGAGTGAGTTCCAGGATAGGCTCCAAAGTTACACAGAGAAACCTTGTCTCGAAAACAACAACAGCAACAAAAAATTTAGAGTATTAGTAATTCCCCTGTCCCTCCAAAGTAACCCTTCTCAACAGCCTAGAGTTTGACCTTTTACACGTGAAACACTAGTGGTGCATTATATGTGGTTCTGTATAGCTTTCTCTACAAGATCTCCCTTGGTATCTTGAGTTGACCTGGAATGCATAGCTTCATTCTCCTGCCATAGCTTCCTGGAGGCTAGGATTACAGCCAGCCACCTCTCATCTCATGAGAGCATAACATCTGCCTCAGTTTCTTAGTTATACTTTATTGATAGATATTCCCGATAACCAGGTACGGTGATACACGCCTGTAATCTCAGCACTCAAGAGTCTAAAGCAAGGAAGATTGTGAGTCAGACTTGCCTGGGCCACATAAACAAGACCCTTTATCTTTGGCTGGAGAGATGGCTCAGTGGGTAAGAGTGCATACTACACTTTGAGAGGACTTGAGGTGGCATACAGCCTCCGGCTTCAGGAACTGAAGCCTTTGGCCACTTCAGGTACCTACATGTGTATGCAGTGTGCACATGTGCACAAGTGCTTGCATGCAAGCAACTGCTATGTGTTCACACACGTACACATGTGCATGCACAAGTTAAAAGAAATCAGGCAGAAGATAACAAGGCAGGCTTTTGTTTGTCTGGTTTGGTTTTTTTGAGACAAAGTTTCTCTGTGTGGCTTTGCGCCTTTCCTGGAACTCACTCTGTAGCTCAGGCTGGCCTTGAACTCACAGAGATCTGCCTGGCTCTGCCTCCCAAGTAAGTGCTGGGATTAAAGGCCTGCGCCACAACCGCCCGTCTAAAGGCAGGCTTTTGTATTTGTTTTTAAAAATTCTGTCTTGATCCCACCCCACCCCAGTGTTTTGGGTTTTGTCTTGTTTTGCTTTGAGACAGAGCCTCACTATGTAGTTAGTCCTGGATGTCCTGGAACTTGATATATAGACAGGCTGGCTTCAAACTTAGAGATCCACCTGTTTCTGCTTCCTTGGTGCTGAAATTAAAGGCATATGTTACCACAGCTGTCTGGTTTTGTTTTTAAAGTACACTCTGAACCAGCAAGATGACTCAGTGGGTAAAGGCACTTGCCACCAAGCTCAATTTCCTGGGACCCACATGATCAAAAGGGAGAACCAACTCCCACAAATTGTCCTCTGACCTCCACATGTGCGCTTGGCACGTGCATATACAGGCATTTACACACAAATAAAATGTAGTGATTTAAAAAAAAAAAAAAAAAAAAGCCGGGCGGTGGTGGCGCACGCCTTTAATCCCAGCACTCGGGAGGCAGAGCCAGGCAGATCTCTGTGAGTTCGAGGCCAGCCTGGGCTACCAAGTGAGTTCCAGGAAAGGTGCAAAGCTACACAGAGAAACCCTGTCTCGAAAAACCAAAAAAAAAAAAAAAATGAATAAAATACTGTTTTAGGCTCAGGCTGACTGCATAGCCTGCATTTTGGTGAGAAGAAAAATCAACATAAGGCAGTATTTCATAGTGTTATAAAAAAAATGAGAGCACTAATACAATTGAGTGGCTGTGGAAAAGTGTCAGCGAGACTGCCTCTGAGGAAGTGATACTGTACTGAGACCCAAGTAAGTCAGGAGCTAGCCTCTGAGGGAAGGGGAGACCAGTGAACAAGAAGGAACTTGATATGTCATGAAGTTGGAGAGACAATAGGAGTCATGCAGGGTACTTTTGGCCAAGGTAAATTTGGATTTATTTAGATTATTTAAGTGTAATTGGAAATCATTGGAGACTTTAAACCAAGAGGTGACTTGTGATTTTGCCTTTAAAACAATTGGTGGGAGACCTGTGTAACTTGGAGCAAGTTCGCTTTCTTTCATCTTTCTCCCCACTGCTTCCATTAAAAAGAACTGAGAGCTATACTCATTTGTTCTCCTTTGATATCCAATAGGGATTCTTCAAGGCAACCCAGCCATATCCAGCTATCCCCAACAGGGCTGTGTAAGGTCAGAATAATGGGGCCATGCCCTAAAGCCTGGGCCCTGCAGGTTCTGTACACCCTAGGTCTGTGTATAGAATTCTTGGTTCTTGGGCAGCCCTGGGGGAATGGAACTCAGGGCACTTGTTGCAAGAGACAGATGGGGAAATGTTGAATGGATACTTTAAGCCCCAAATACTTGAGAAAGGCCTCAGAGGAGTGTCTAAAAATGAGCCAGCCAGAAAACTAGACCTGCTGTTTGCCCACTTCAGTTTCTGTGTAGTCTTTGCTTAAGAGGAATTTGGACGTTTTCTTGTTTGAGTGTCTCTCTCTCGCTCTCTCTCTCTCTCCCTCCCTCCCTCCCTCCCTCCCCTCCCCCCCCCCCCCCCCCCCCTCTCTCTCTCTCTCTCTCTCTCTCTCTGTTGTTGTTGTTGTAGACAGAATCTCTCTGTCTAGTCCTAGCTGTCCTGGAACTCACTCTAAGACCAGGCTGGCCTTGAACTCACAGGGATCTGCTTGCCTCTGCCACCACTGCCCCAACCAAGGGTCTTTGCTTTTTATTCTGCCCATTTCCTTCACGTTGGTACTCTGTTGGCTCTTGGATAACAATCTGCTGTGCTGAAAGTCAAGAGAACTCCCACCTCGGAGTCTTGGGCTGAAGTTGACTGAAGAGGAAGGTTGGGGGCGGGGGGGAATGGTGCTCTAACCTGTAGTAGAAAGATGGAATCTTAAGAGTTTAGAGCCAAGCCTGTTCCAGAGTAGAAGAGCTATGTTGAAGGGCATGAGATCCCTTCATGGTGGTGATCTTTAAACAGGTCTGTCCATGTTCATGCCCTGAAGCTCACTCACATCTACAGGCTGGTTTGTGACCAGATAGTTACCTGCTGTCAGCATGTACTATCTGCATACCCTATCTGCATACCTGGGATCTCTCCTGGGGTCCCCATCCCACCTTCCACCTTTGAGCCAGAATTGTGGGGTTTAGTTTGAAGAACTCTTGAGCTCTTTTCTGCTGGTGAGCAGTCACTGTTCAGCTCTGAGAGGAGGCAGCCTGAGACTAGCAAGATCAGCAGATGTGTTTCAGGTCACATGTCTGCTTTGTCATGTCACCGTGAGCCAAACCTTTCTTCATTCAGATCTTTTCACAAATGCACAGCATCTCTTCCTGTTTCTGAGAACCCTTCTGACTTGATCTTTGATTTGGGTCACCCTCCTTTGACTCTGTGCTGTCCAGTTGTGAGGCGGTTCTTCCCTTAGTCTCTGAGACTAGGGTCTGGTCTCGGAGTACTAGTCGTACCTGTTTCCTGAGTCCACAGTTGGAGAGGAGCTGGTTCATTGTCTGAGGGTCTGGTCTTGGGGTGCCAGTCATGCCTGTTCCATGAATTGCAGTTGGATAGGAGCTCATTCAGTGTCTGCTGCTGGCTTCATCGTTCTCCCAGAAACTACTCAGAACAAACTCCATGAAACATGAACAGGGCCCTCAGCCCATATTCACCATGACAGTTTCAGCCCCTGCATTCCCTCTGATCCCTTTGCTTTCTTTTCCAGGAGCCTGGAGAGGTGTGGCTGGACCAAGACCTCCCCTGATGTAAGCAGGCTCCCTCCTCCCCCCACCACCCGTTGCCACCACGCCAGGGGACATCCTCAAGCCCTGGCCCTTAGGGGAGAGGTAACAGGAGCCCAGAGCCGAGACCATGTGACGGCGCTGGCCCTTGCCACCGCCGTCCCCCAACCCTGGCCCCAGGCCTGGCACCATGATGTTCCGAGACCAAGTAGGCATCCTCGCTAGCTGGTTCAAGGGCTGGAATGAGTGTGAGCAAACAGTGGCTCTGCTGTCGCTTCTGAAGCGGGTCACCCGTACCCAAGCCCGCTTTCTGCAGCTCTGTCTGGAGCACTCGCTGGCGGACTGCAATGATATCCACCTGCTGGAGTCAGAGGCCAACAGTGCTGGTGAGTCTCTGCCGCTAGAGATGGGAGCACAGTGGGGAGAGCAAGAGCAGGTGCCAGGTGCCACAGCGACCAACCAACAGTGGCACTGAGAAATGTATGTTCTGTGCTTGTCTGGTCTCCTGGGGCTGTCCTCAGGTGTGGAATGGGGATTCCCAGGAGGGCAATGCAAACTGGAAACTGCCCATATAGAGGAAGGATGGTGTTGGGTAGCTTGTATGAGCTGCTGAAAGGAACCAGCAAGTCATGAAGTGGCATGGTAAAAGGTGAGTGATGATTTGATTTCCTAGCTCTAGGACACCAGAGCTAGGAGGGGATCTCAGAACTTGTAGAAGAGGCTTGTCTGTACAAGTCTTCACCTCCAAAAGTAAATAGGTTGCAGGCCATGAGAGCTTCAAGAGAGTTTTGAATGTAGATGTAGTCCTCCATGTCAGTTCCCTAAGTACGCAGTAGAGGTACTCTGTCTACTGAAGCTGGCACTGGGATATCTGGGTGAGCCAGATATCCTTAGAACCTGTCCCTAGAGTTCAAGAACAGTCAGTCAGTCCAGAGAACCATCTCAGGGGCTAATACATAAGGACCTTCTGGGCCTTGACATGTAGCTGGGTGCAGAGCTGCTGATCTCATTGACACAGGTGCGAGATGGAGGTCAGAGAATGGGGAGAGTTGTGGATACCCAAAAAAACTAGCTGGGAAGGGAACTGAGGGGCCCGTTGGAGAGTCACCCTTGTTCTTTCTACCTTCTGCTTGATTAAGAGCAGTTCCTGTGGAGCCCTTGTAAGCCAAGTTCCCCTAACCTGTGTCAAGTCCTTTGGTGGCTCTTGAGTCACATTGCCTAGGCTGAAATCATAGTTGTTATGTGCTGTAATTGTGCCTCAGCTTCCTCCTCTTTAAAATAAAGATGATAATTCCACCTATGTTAGGGTGCTTATGAGGAGCCAGTGAGTTCATACAGGTGGAGTTCTTCCCACAGTGCTTGGTAAGCAGTAAATACTCAGTTAACTGTCAGTTGTTTTTATTGTCAGTCATAGTTACACTCCTCAGAACTACCCTGGGAGATTAGTACTGTTCTCATCCCTATTTTACAGGACTCCAACATGGGTTTCTAAGATTGGGGTTTGGGGAACCGTAGAGCTACCCGTCCTCTGTTAACTCCCCAGGCCCAGTCATCATAGAAGCACCCTTATTTCTTACTGAATTGGATGTACAAGCTGCAGGAGCATCGTGGCACAACAGAGGATAGTTACACAGATTTGGAGTCACGTTGGCCTGATGCTCAGTCAGGCAGACAGAGCAGTCAGAGCCTGCTTAGCTGTAGCAGGCTCAGAGCTCAGCCATCTCCCACCCTTGCCAGCCTCCCCACCAGAAAAAAAGGCTCCCCTGCTCTGGCACCCAAGGATGGAGGTCTGTGTAGGATCTACCCACACTGGAGAGATGGGGTGGTGTTCCTTTGGAGTAAGCCTGTGTTTTACACAGCTTCATCACACCCCTACTACCTTGTCCTGAGCACCAGCCTTCTCTGTTTATCAGGTCACCTGCTTTGTTGCTGTTGATTTATTAAAGCACTGAGGTTTTTTGTTGTTTTCAGAGTAAAACCAATTGATACATAAGGTTAAAGGTAGGGTCTCCTTTCCCAATTCTCGTGTTTTATGAGATGATTTTTACAATGTGAGTACACACATTTTTCTCCTAGCTTTGCCATGTTATGGGTTTGGGGGGTGGTTTGTTTTTTGTTTGTTTTTGAGACAGGGTTTCTCTGTGTGACAGCCTTGGATGTACTGCAACTCTCTTTGTAGACCAGACTGGCCTAAATCTCAGAGATCCACCTGCCTCTGCTTTCCGAAGTACTGGGACTAAAGGTGTGCACCATCACTACCACCACTACATCCAACTGATAGTTACTATTTTGAAACAGGATCTCAGCCTATAGCCCAGGCTTGTCTCAGACTTGCAGTGCAGTGCCTCTGCCTGTGTGGTCTGGGATTCCAGGCGTGCACAGTCCCACTTGCAGTGACTGTGTCTATACTGTTGTCTGACCCGAACAGCACTGTGAGGAAAGTCGGTTTGATGGATGGGGAAGCCTTGGGAAACAGTAGACTAGAGCAGTGCTTCTCAACTTCCTAATGCTGTGACCCTTTAACACAGTTCCTCATTGGGGTGACCTCCCCCCTCAGCATGAAATTATTTTGTTGCTACTTCATAACTGTCATTTTGCTACTGTTATGAATCACAATGTAAATTAAATATCTGATATGCCGGATATCTGATAATTCGGCGACCCCCAAAGGGTTCGCAACCCACAGGTTGAGCACTGCAGGGCTAGAGGGTAGGGATCAAATTTGACTTGGGAGTAGTTGACTACAACTCTTGTCTACCACTTGGTTTTGCTCCTCCAAGCTGTAGTAAGAACCTTTTAAGCAGCTCTAGGATGAATCCCTAGGTGTCTCTGGAGCTCCGAGTTTGGAAGTATGTATTTCTAAAGTATTTGCTTTTACCACATTTCCACATTGCCAGTGAACAATATGCTGTACAAAACAGTGGAGGCCCTTTGCCCTTTCTTTCTTTCTTTCTTTCTTTCTTTCTTTTTTTTTTTTGGAGACAGGGTTTCTCTGTGTAGCCCTGGCTGTCTTGAAACTCACTTTATAGTTTTCAAACTCATAGAGACCCATCTGCCTTTGCCTCCCAAGTGCTGGGATTAAAGGTATGTGCGCCACACCCAGCTGTAGAGGCCCTTTCTTTCTTTCTTTTTTTTCTTTCTTTTTTTTTTCCCAGAGCTGAGGACCGAACCCAGGGCCTTGAGCTTGCTAGGCAAGCGCTCTACCACTGAGCTAAATCCCCAACCCTGAGGCCCTTTCTTAACAGTTACATTGGCTTGTTGGGGAGGGCTCAGCCAAGGCTGGAGGACTACTGCGGAATGAATTGCATGATAGTGAATATATAAATCAAGGTCTTACATCCCTGTCATGTGTTGAGACGTTTTCAATGAAGCTGGCACTTGATGGGTAGAAAGGTAAGGAGAACAGAGTGAGGGAAGAGAGGGAGGCCTTTGCATATCCCATAGTGAGCAGGAAGGGTGCCTGCCAGGAGTATAGCAAAGCATCACTTGAAGTGTTCATGGGTAAGTCTGTGGGGGCCTTGAATGCTTCTTCCTAATGAATGTGAGGGCCTTAAGACTAAAGAGGTGGCATCTCCTGTCACACCCTTAGTAGACACCCCACTCTCCTGCTTGTTTCTATCTCTTGGAACTGGAATCTGGCATGCATGACCACCACCTGCCTGGGATCCAGGTTCTTGTAAGGACCTAGATGAACCATGTCCTTCTAGTCCATCTATTTGTCTTGGAATGGCAGGCACATGAGGGTTCTAGATCCAGGTCTGCCCTCTTGGCTATGAGTAGATGTGACCTTAGCCATTCTGAGCATACTACTTTCTTTGTGGAGGAGGTTCCAGCACATTCTAGAGCAATAGCTCTTAGTATCTAATGCATAGTCGATGTAATTGAGTGTAGAGAGATTGCTTAGCAAATCTATCCTCAGTACTAACAAAAATAATAAAAACATAATGGGTGCCCTCCTTATGGTATCTGCCCCTTTTGTCCCCTCCCCAGAAAGATTCATACTTACCCAGCCGGCCAAGTCTTGAGTTCAGCTGACCCACTAGTCCTCAATTAAGAGGCATCTGTTCCAGTGAAACTTCCAGTGGAAGTTTCTCTGACTCCTTAAGATCCCCTCAGAGCAGCCAGGCGGTGGTGCGCACGCCCTTAATCCCAGCACTCAGGAGGCAGAGACAGGCGGATCTCTCTTGAGTTCAAGGCCAGCCTGGTCTACAGAGCAGTTCCAGGACAGCCAGGACTGTTACATAGAGAAACCCTGTCTTGAGGGGGTGGGGAAGGATTCTCCTCGGATCAGGATGCCTGAGCAGTAAGGCAGAGGCTCTGCTTCCTCCTCCAGTTCTCCAGTGTGACCTCTCAGTTTGAGTCTTTGCTGTCTATCTTCATAGATAATTCAGGGAGCTGAGAAAAATTGACCTTAGTATGTCCTAGTCTTGACTTCATGTTTCAGTCCCCTAGGGACTTTCTAAAAATAATGAACCTAGTGTTCTCTTAGATCTAATATTCAGGGTTGGTGCTAATATTCACCCAGTGCTGCTGCTTCTGGGTGTGTCCAGGAAAGTGGTGAGTGAGCAGTCATGTGAATGTCTTACCAGAAGTAGGGAAATGGGTTTACCACTGTGGAAGGGGACCCCAGCACAGGTAGCCACGTGAGTTTTAAGGAAGTAGAGTCTGAGGTGACATCCAAGACCAGAAAAGAAAAGCAGGACTCCAGGTCCCTGAGCAGGGAAGAAGAGTGTCTTAGTTTGCCTTCTATTGCTGTGATAAACATTGATCAAAAGCAGCTTGGGGAGGGAAGGGTTTATTCATCTTACAGTCCATCCTGAAGGGACATGAAGAAAGGAACTGAAGCAGATACCACTGAGGAACACTGCTTCCTGCCTTTTTGTCCATGGCTTGCTTGATCTTCTTTCATGTACCACTCAGGACCACTTGCCTATAGTGGTCTGGGCCTGCCCACAGAAAATTAATCAAGAAAATGTCTCATAGGCTTGCCTACAGGCCACTTTTCTGTAAACATTCATTCTAGTTTGTATCAGGTTAACAAAAAACCAACCAGGACAGGGAGGGCTAGGGTTCCCTACTTGTCCCAGTTCTTCTCTGCTGTTTGGAGCTCTTACTGCAATCATGGCCCTCTTTCGCACCGAGTGTGCCTTGGACCATAGGTGTTCCCATAGATTCCCATGGTAGGAGGAGATTGAGCCTAGGCAGCTAAGATCACTTCTCCTTCATCCTACGGCTTCCTGGGCTACATTTCCTGCACTTCTTCCCATGTCCAGTTTTCTGAGTCAGTCCTCCTATCTGGCAGGTTTAAGCTTCTCCCTCTCTGGCTCTCTGAATTTGGGTGGGGAAACTGAGGTCAGAAGGGACCATGTTGAGTGATTCATCAGAGCTCATCCTCTGATGCCCCCACCCTTCCCTTTCTGGCTCTTTTGACATAGTTCATCAAACAAAAATGTGAACCCCTGGTCCTCCCTGATGTCTGTGTGAGCTGGGGTGAGACAGAGAGGGGTATGTCTGGAGCCAAAGCCCAGCCCTCTGACTAGTGCCAGAGGCCAGCATGATTGTTGCAGTAGCTAAGTGGGTTTGCTCTTATGAGGGTCTCAAAGACACATTTGGCTCCTGTGATTTGCCAGGACCCAGGGTCATGACCTACTTAGCTTGGGTTGTCCACTCAGTTCTGCCCTGTGACCGGCCGTTGTGCTAAGGAGGGCACTCACACAGTCTCCTTTACCCTCTCCATGTCCTCAAATTTGCAGCTTGTACCCCAGCATTGCTTGGTCCCCCAGCTCCAGTCCACCCATCTCCAGAATTTCATCACTACAAATTATGGCTTTAACTCTAAGGCCAGACATGTGTCTGTTTTTGATAAATAATTTTGTAAAATTCCCCACCCCTGTGGGGAATCTTAAGGGGGTGTCCCAGATAGTCTCTGCTAAGTGAACCACTGGCTCAGCACCCCCAAGACAGCCTGGAGGAAAATTTCTACCCAGGAGTAGTGGAGGTAAGGGTTTAATGTGCTGAGCACTTGCTTAGTGCAAGGTGTTTTGCATCCTTCTGTTGACTCTCTACAACCCTAGGACCTCAGGGCTTTTACAGCCAGCATTACAGAGACAGATGAGCAAGATTAGAGAATGTAAATAACCTGCCCACGATTAAATATACTAAGTCATGGAAACAGAAATAGATTTTTATTTTGTTTTGATTTTTTTTTTGGTGGTTGTTTTGTTTTTGTTTTTGTTGTTTTTTGTTTTTTTTAGACACTCTCTGTGTAGCTTTGGAGCCTGTCCTGGAACTCTGTAAACCAGGCTGGCTTCGAACTCACAGAGATCTGCCTGCCTCTGCCTCCCAAGTGCTAGGATTAAAGGCATGTGCCACCACCGCCCGACTCAGATTCTTTACCCAGACAGGTTTTTCCTTTTGAATTTGCAGAATATGCTCTGCCAGACCTTAAGGCAGAATGACCGAGTTTGTGAGATTCCAGAGAGGGCAGGTACACTATACACATAGACATCACTACCTAACAACAGACCATCTGGGTTCAATTGTGCAGGTATTCATTGGGCCCCTACTGTACCTTAACTCTGGGCCAAAGTTTTCTGATCTGGGCAGGAAACTAGAAGTTCATCCCCACCCTTCATCTGCAGCCCCAGCTGGGCTCACTCACCCTAAGGGGCCCGAGGCTGTGCACATTCCTTGGACTCATTCCAGTGCTCATTGATGCTTCCCAGTCCTGGGAGGCCTGCCCTTCCCACCACCACCACTCAGACACATGAACACACATTTCCCCAGGGTCAGCCTTCATTGATCCAAAACTACTCTCCTTTCTGGGCAGTAGAACAAGGTCCTTCTTTGAGCCCAACCCTTGAGGCTGTTCTGTCACGTCCCCTGGCAGTACCAGAGGAGAAGCTGCATCCCATAGCCCTGGGGTCCTGGCAGTACTCTGGGGGTGGGGGAAGGTTTAGACAAGGCTTCCCTCTGTCCTAGATGCCTCTGGCTACACTGTAAGGCCTAAACAACAGCAATTGAGAAGTCAGGGTAGGGATAATGGGGTGGCTGACTACAAGAGGAGCGTGGAGACAAACACCCATCACCGAGCCACATCCTGCACATTTACTACAGGCAGACTGTTAATCCTTCACCGACACCATTTCCTAAATCTGAGCAGCCCAGATCTCGAACCCTATACTCCTTTTACAGAAGAGGAAGCATAGTGCTCTAACAGCTGGAATGCAAGACCTTTGACTTTGTCCTTAATATTGCTGTATTTCTTCATGCTATATTTCTTATCAAGAACTAAAAGTTCAGAAACTAAATCTAAAAAGGGGATATTCAATAGTTATATGACCCAGTGCTAGATGGAGGTGGCAGATGTGACCAAACTGAGCCGGCAGATGGCTGAATTGGTAAAGGCACTTAAAGGCGAGCCTGACACCTTAAGTTGGGTTCCTGGGACCCATGTGGTATGTGGGGAGAATTGACTCCTATAAGTTGTCTTCTGACCTTCATGAGTGTACTGTGGCATGCGGACACAGGCACATACAACCTAACCGATCTGGGCCTTGTAATTTAGGCTTATAAATAGCAGCTAATTGGAATACCGAGGCAGGAAGATCACCACTTCATTGCCTCTCTCAGTTATAGAATGATCAAGGCTAGCCTGGGCCACTTAGTGAGGCCCTATCTTAAAGTGCAAAGTAAAAAGAAGCCTGAGGGTGTAGCTCAGTGGTAGACTACTGCTTTAGCACACTTAAGGCTTCATGCTCAGTCCATAGGTTTAGGGGTGGAGAGGAAGACAGGACATAGGATTTGGCTAGGAAAAAGGTTATTGCAGCCAAATCCTTGAATCTCAGCTTCACTGTGGGAGCTTGGGTAAACACTGTGTAGAGAGCCCCAAGGAAGATGGGATAGGCCACTCGTGCTGAGTCTGTGTCTGATGAGAAGTGGAGAGTGACCTAGAAATGAAGGTGATGTTAGGCTGTGAGTTCTTGGAGTTGAATCTGGGTGTGGGCTGCCATAGTAAACATATAAACAGAAACTGATGTGATTTGAGTGTGATTTAGGAAGATAAACCCACCTGTATGGACAGGACAGTTTAGAGGTCATCAGTGGGAGGCCGGGAGACCAGGTTAAAAAAACTGCAGCAACCATTCATTGCATCTTTGATTCGAGGTCACATTCCATTCTTTTTAACATTTATTTATGTAGTTATTTATTGATTCATTTTGTGGGATATAGTGTGTACCCCATGACAGTATGGAGGTCAGAAGACAACTGGTAGGGAGCTGATTCCTTCCACAGTGTGGCTCCCAGGAAAACTCAGTTCATCAGGCTCAGGCTTGGGAACAGTGCCTTTCTGTACCCACTGAGCCATCCCACCAGCTCCCATTTTACTTTTCTTATTAGCTTATTGAATCTCAAACGAACACTTTGAATCAGGTTCTATAATTTTCTCTCAAGTTTTGCAGGTAGCAGTATTTTGGGAGGAGGTTCAAGGATAGCCTGGGCTACATAGCAAGAATCCACCTCCAAAAGCAAACAAATCAGTGTTTAATAAGATTTAAGATGACTTACCTAAAATCTAACCAGTGAAGAATCTAGACTCTCTTATGCCAGAGAACAAGCTTCTTTATTTTATTTTTTTCTTTTTTTTTGAGGAGGTGGGGGTCGGGGTTGGGGTTGAGATGCGGTTTCTTTATGTAGTCCTGGCTGGCCTTGAACTCAGAGATCCATCTGCCTCTGCCTCCCAAGTGCTAGATTAAAGGTGTGCACTATTACCTGGCTGAGAACAAGCTTTTAACTTTTATTCTAACACTTCCCTTTAGGCAGGAGGAAGGGAAGTATTGGCGAGCAGGCAAGTAGGTGCAGCAAAGGATTAAGCCTTTATGTGGCAGGAGGAGCTTCCATATGCCTGAGTGGATTGGAGGTCACTCAGGTTTTTGAGGACAGGAGTGACAGAAGTAGAAAAATGGCTCTAGAAGCAGCTCTATGAGGGGCAGGGGCAAGGGTAATAAATGGGAAAAGTAGAGGAGACTGGAACTGCGGGAGAGACCATGTTCCTAATGTTCATTCTTATTCCCTCTGTAGCCATCGTCAGCCAGTGGCAGCAGGAGTCCAAAGAGAAGGTGGTGTCCCTCTTGCTATCCCATCTGCCCCTGCTCCAGCCAGGCAACACAGAGGCCAAGTCAGAGTACATGAGACTGCTGCAGAAGGTGCTGGCCTACTCCATCGAGAGCAATGCCTTCATTGAGGAGAGCCGCCAACTCCTCTCCTATGCCCTCATCCACCCAGCCACTACGCTGGAGGACCGCAATGCGCTCGCCCTCTGGCTGAGCCACCTGGAAGAGCGGCTGGCTAGTGGTTTCCGCACCCGGCCAGAGCCCTCCTACCATTCACGCCAGGGCTCAGATGAGTGGGGGGCACCTGCAGAGCTGGCCCCTGGAGAGGCAGGATCAGGCTGGCAGGACAAGCCACCCCGGGAAAATGGACATGTACCCTTTCACCCATCCAGCTCAGTGCCGCCGGCCATCAACAGTATTGGGAGCAATGCAAACACAGGTGAGGGCTGTACCTGCTTGAAACTAGTCAGAATGGGCTATCTTCTCTTGCTCTGTGGCCTTGGCAAGTCCCATCACCCTTGTGGGCCTCAGCTTTATAAGGGAGGCAGTGCAGAGGTTGTGAACGGCCTCAGAGCTGAACCTGACCTATAGATGTGTCTTAGGAACTCACATTTGGTTTGGTTTTAAATAACTTCAATATACAAAATTTTAAAAATCAGATTTCTAGCTTCTGAAAAAGTCTCAAGATCTGGAGCCTCACAGACTATATTCCTAGTGGCAGCTTGAGAGAGCGCTGAGTAGATATGCCTATACGTGAGCCTCTGTGACCCTTTTAGCGTGTTTTTTCTTTCCTTTTTCTTTTATTTTTTAAATGTGTGGGTGGGTGTTTTGCCAGCTTGTCTGTATACCATGTCCAAAGAGGCCAGAAGAGGGTTCCATAGAGCAAGAGTTGCAGATGGTTGTGAGCCACCATGTGGGTTCTGGGAACTGAACTCTGGTCCTCTGCAAGAGCAACAAGCACTCTTTAACCACTGAACACCTCTCCAGCCCTCCCTATCAACATTTCTGATTCCTGACTGGCTTCTGAGGACCCCTGGCAGGGAGGGATACCATCACCTGAGGTCTCTTTAGCTCACTCAGGATTTTGGTCTTCCAACATGACAAGTGTGTGTGTAAATTTGACACTGCAGAGCATCAGCTGTTTATAGTTGAGCATTGGTGCCAGGTGCTCTCAGCAGCACTATTACAGATACAGTCTCAGTTAAGCCTTCTCACACACCATTAGGCCTGTGATTTCACAAGTGAGGTCTTAGGATTCAAAGATCGGAAGTCATGTAGTTGAGATCACACGTAGAACAAGTAGTGGAACTGGCCAAGGTTCAGACTTGAACAGTTTGGGCCAGAACTGCCTCTGCCCAGTGCTGTGCTGCTAACCAGCTAAGCCCAGAGGTTGGGTAAAACAGGAGCTGGTGTTAAGGTGCTTTTTTGAAATGTTAGCTAAGATGAACAGTGTAAGGCACTGTGGCTTTTATAAGTTATGAAGAGTGGCATGACCTAATTAAAGGCGAGTGCTCATAATTTAGCCTTAGGTGGTCAGCCCCTTTCAGCAGGCATTGGTTAAAGTAGGCCAGGCAAGATAGAGTTCTCAGGACATTTCCAGGGAACTCTAGCAACTCCATTTACTTTGAAGTACCACACTTCCTGTACCAGGTTTGGAGGCTATATTAACATTGATTGTTCTGACCGGGAAACATTGAGCACTTTGCTAGGAGCTATTCTGAGGACTTCGTAACTATAAACTATAAAACTTGGCTTAGGCTCAGAAGTCCCCTGCCCAAGATAATGTCAGAATTAAATCCAGGTAGTATGGCTCTGGAGCTCAGAGTCTGAATACCTATACTGCACAGCCTCTGCCTAAAAATGACCCATGCAGTGACTACCTGTGTGCTTCCTGGCTCAGAACCCTAGTAGGCTCTTTGTTTTTGCTTTTTCTTTTGGAAACACTTGTGGTAGAACTCAGAATCTTGATGATACAGACAAGGCTGTACCACTGAGCTACAGCCCCAGCACTCCAAGCAACTTTGAAGGACCAAGCTTTCACATTGTTGGATAGGTGTATGGACCAAAAGAGAAAGGAATGAGCCATTCCATGTAGAGGGCACACCATGATTGAAAGCCTTGGTGGTACCCAGTAGAGCATCAGTGTACATCAGGTCTTAAGATTCTTCCAGTGATCATATTGGTGCATGCTAGGCTAACCTGTACCTATTGAGGACTTCATATGGACAAAGAGACAAAATCCTGTCCAAGAGCACTGATTTCAGAGGTGGTAGAATTAGGATTTGAAGTCAGATCTTAAGGCCACTGTTGGGGCTTTGAAGGACAAAATGAAACTTTTGGACATCAGACAGTTGCAGGAAGCAGGAAACCATTAAAATATTTTTGAGTGGGAAGCAAAGATTGGCCTGGGAGGGCAGGCAGGGTGAGTTTGGTGTACTGCCAAGGACAGACCAGGATTTCTTGGAGAGTGCGAGGCCGTGGATCTGTAGCCGGCATTCCTGTTTTTATAATCGTCAGGCAGTGGCCAGCCTCCACCCCAACACAGGCCAAGCAGGACTCCTCAGGAACTGCATGGTCACTCCAGTCAGGGTAATTTCCTGCCCTCTCAGCCTCACCAGCCCACTTCTTGGCTGAGAAGGGAGGAAGGAGGTGGCCAGGGGCACCAAGACAGGCACAAAGGCCTGTATTGAGGGTTTTCCAGCTCTGGGGCCCAGAGTGCCATCTTCTTCCAAGAGGCCCCAAATAGGGCAGAAGCCAGAGTCCACAGTGTCCAGAAACTTGGAAGGAGCCCTGCGTAGAGGACTCCAACAGGGTCCTGGGCAGTAGCGGAGCCTGACACTATCTGTGTACAGTGGGCTAGTCAGTATCTTCTCCCTTGGGTAACTTTCTGGCTAGGAGCGTCAATATTGTTACAGAAGGTACTTTGGGGGCTGTACCAAGATGGCCTCCTTCTGGGTGGGCTGTCACTGGGACACTTAGAGGAACCCCATCCTGTACTCTTTCTCTTTCTCTTCTTAGTCCCCTGTGGGAACTGGGGCAAAGTAGTTCAGCTTCCCAGGCCTTGTCCTCACCTAACCAGGCTTTTTGGCTTTCTCTGTTTCTCTCGAGGCTGCCACGGGAACTTCTGGATTCCCTGTGCTGAGCTCACAGGCCCTCTTAGCACTCATTTGTTCTTTATGAAACTCAGTTGGAAGGCTCCTGTGTTGTATCCTGCCCCTGAGCCTGGGGTACAAACAGGATTGGGCCAGGTTGCTCCCCTTCATAAGTCCACAGTCCAGGACAAGAAGCTGGCTAGGGCAACAAGTGCTTGACTTGTCATAGCCAGAGGGAGGTGCTTGAGCAAGACACAGGCAGAAGCAGTGCTAGGGCAGGGAAAAGAAGTGACACGGTCTGGATGTTCAGAGGCTCCTGCCTTGTCGAGGGAATCAACTTGGAACCTTTTGCTTACCTCAGAAATGGAGTGGACAGAGTGTGAAATGTCTTGGGGAAGAGGGTACTGACTTCACCCTGAGTGACCAGACCTCTTAGCTGGTCGGTGTGGATTCAGTCCAGGAAAAAATGGAGACAAAGGGTCCAGTCACAGAGATGTTAGAGAAGCAGTTCATTAGCTAGGCGTGAAGGTACACACCTATAATCCCAATATGTGAGAGACTGAGGCAGGAGGATCGTGAGTTTGAGGTCAACCTGAGCTATATAGTGGGTTCTGGGCCTCTATAGCAATATTCTTTCTTGAGCCTCTCGCCCCCCAAAGTAAAAAGGGACTCAACTCACTTGGCTTATTTGTAAGTACTAGGGAAGCAATTTCCTGGGCCATCCCCCCTGTGATTGCTGAGGATATGATGATGTCATGTACAGATCTCTGCTTCATGGACTATCTCTGTAGCAGAGGAGTTTATTAGTTAATAAGCAGACAACTATGTAAGAGAATCTGGGTTGTGATCGGTGTTTAAAGGTGAGAGAATAATTGGGATGGAGGACTAGAAGGCATTGACAAGATGGAAGACTTAGGGTAGGGCTCAGGAGGTAATAGTTAACTGAGGCTTGAGACTGCCAGCTGCTAAGATTGGGGAGTTGAGAATGTGGTGGGGTTCAGTGGCAGAGTACTTGTCTAGTTTGCAGGAGGCCCTGGGTTCGTTCTTTCTTCAGTATCACAGAAAAGGGAACAGAAAGAAAAAGAGCAAATGTCAAAATCCTTTGGTGTGACCTTAAAGTGTTCCGGAGCAAGCATTTGGTGTTCAGAAACCAGGGTGATCACATATATCTAATCCCAGCACTTAAGAGACAAAAGCACAAGGATGCTTTGGGAGGCCCTGTCTCAAAAGAGGACTGGGGTGGTTGGTTCCAGAGAAGTGAGGACTAGAAAGACCTTGAGCCGGGACTGGGCTATAGGAGATGAGAGATCAGAGGTGACTGGGGGCCAGGGTTTTCAGGTATGTGGAAGAGTTTGGATTTTGTTGTCAGCATGAAGGAAGCTACTAGGATCTAAACAGGCCAAATTTGCACATGCCTGTAATCCCAGCACATAGGGAGATCACTGAGTTTGAGGTCAGCCTGACTACAAAGTGAGAACCAATCTCTTAAGAAGCCGCCACCCCTAAAAACAATCAGCATGGCTGCTGTAAGGAAAGGGGGCTGTAAGTAGCAAGAGTGAAGGGGAGACTCCAGTCAGACATGACAGTGACACCAGCCACAGCTACTGGGGTTTGGATAAGAGTGTGAGCAAAGGAGCAGGCAAGTTCAGAGGAATCTGGCAGCATGCTGGGAAGTTGGGTGTTGGGGTGGGAGGTTGAACAATATCTATAGACAGTTGCTCTTGGGGCCCCTTGGCTCCTTCCTTCCCTTCCCCTTGGTAGATTACAGGATTGAGCAGGCCGTGGTCTTTTTTAATGCGCAGATCCCCAACCTGACCTCTTGATTTTCCTTCTCTGGCCAGGTCTCCCCTGCCAAATCCACCCTAGCCCACTGAAGCGCTCCATGTCACTCATCCCTACAAGCCCCCAGGCCCCTGGTGAGTGGCCGAGTCCAGAGGAGCTTGGGGCCCGGGCTGCTTTCACCACGCCCGACCACGCACCCCTTTCGCCACAGAGCAGTGTGGCCTCCTCTGGCAGTGAGCAGACGGAGGAGCAGGGCTCCAGCCGGAACACTTTCCAAGAGGATGGAAGCGGGATGAAAGGTGAATCCAGAGGACATGCCAGAACCCTTCTCCAGGGCTTGGGCCGGGCTGGAAGGACAGAAAATTGCCTGTAGCTGCCACCTCAGGGAGGAGGGGACAGGTCTGAAGGCAATAGATAGCCCCTCCCCTCACAGCCAGCCAGAGCTCAAGATAATTGATGGATGAGATTAAATCATGAAGGCCATCGAAGCAGCTCAGTAGGTCAGGTGTCCTGCTGGGGAAGACTGTCTGAAAGGGCCTCACTAGGCAGGTAGAGGCAGTTTCTGGTCCCAACCCCTCCCAGCTCACTGCAGTTTCTAAGGCTACTGGTGGCTTATGCCTGATCTCTTTCCCACCCCCATCTCCCGGTCACCAGTGTTCTTCTCCTGACTAACCTCTCTCCTTTTACACAGACGTGCCCTCATGGCTCAAGAGCCTCCGCTTGCACAAGTATGCTGCTTTGTTCTCACAGATGAGCTACGAAGAGATGATGACCCTAACAGAGCAGCACCTTGAGTCGCAGGTGAACCCGAGGGACCACTGGGGAGGTGTTGGGCCAGCACCACTGGGTGCTGTTCCTGCTATCAAGCCTTATCTGTCCCTGGTCTCTGTTGGGACACCCCTGTGTACCTCACCTATATCCAGTTTCCTGTCTCCTTCTGTCCTCATCACAGAACGTCACCAAAGGTGCCCGGCACAAGATAGCCCTGAGCATCCAGAAGCTTCGTGAGAGACAGAGTGTCCTCAAGTCCCTAGAGAAGGTGAGGACCTGGTATCCTCATCTCCAAGGCCCAGTGGTACAGGCAGGTGGAAGGCTTTGGGTCAGCCTTGGTGGCAGCTGCCTGGGCCTCCTCATTCCTGCAGTCTGACCTCTGGTGGCCTCAGGCATGGGCAGCTGGATTCCAGAGACCTTGAGCAAGTTGTCATCAAAGAGCTCCTAGTTCTGCCTGAGAGGTTCCCTCCCGCCCTCTCTTCCTTCCCTGTTTGCTTTGTGATTCCAGAATGTCTCCATCTTTTAACAGTAGACCTGATAGATAGGGTTGTTTTTGTTTTTTGGTTTTTTTCTTTGGTTTTTCGAGACAGGGTTTCTCTGTGTAGTTTTGGAGCCTCTCCTGGAACTCACTTGGTAGCCCAGGCTGGCCTTGAACTCACAGAGATCCGCCTGGCTCTGCCTCCCGAGTGCTGGGATTAAAGGCGTGCGCCACCACAGCCCGGCCTTATGATAGGTTTTTTTTTTGTCGGTGAGTTGCAGTTGTACAAGAGATCTTTTCATTTGACTTTCTCCTCCAGTCGATCCTGTGTCTGCTTCCATTATCTTCCTCCTCTCCTCTCCCTGCTGCCTCCTTCTGGTTTTCCCTCCTTCTTCACATCTTATCTGAATCTCTGCTTTCTCCTTGGAGGGAAGAAAGAGTTTACCTGGCTGATGGGCCAGAGCTTCCCTTATCTGACCTCTGTGCTGGAACCCTGCATACCATGTGGGCTTCTCTGAGCCTTATCTGACCACACTTGTGTAGTCATTTTTTTATACCACCATGAAGTCTGTGCCTGACCTGGCTACATCCTCCCTTGCAGGATGTGCTGGAAGGTGGCAATCTGCGGAACGCTCTGCAGGAGCTACAGCAGATCATCATCACCCCTATCAAGGCCTACAGTGTCCTTCAGGCCACCCCTACTGCCAAGGATGGGGGTCGGGGGGAGCCGCTACTGCTAGGTGCTGAGCCTCCCCTCACCCACCCTGGAACAGACAAGGGCACTGAGGTCAAGGACCCTCCAGCTGCAGAGAACTATCCTCCTCCACCAGCTCCAGCTCCCTCTGATAGCAGTGAGCCAGCCCCAGCTCCCGTCGCCGACGGAGACATCCCCAGCCAGTTTACACGGGTGATGGGCAAAGGTGAGAGCAACCAGTGCCTATCCCAGAATCCTGAAACAGAATTACTAGGTGAACCCAGGCACCATGGTTCAAGTCCAAGTTAGAGAAAGGGGAGCCATGTGTCTTTAAAGACCCTAGAGGTGAGCCTGCAGAATAGCTGAAACTGAGTGGGACTGGACCTCTTCCTGCAGGCCTCTCTGGGCTGATGGTACTAGCCCTCGCCTTCAAGGCCCAGGAGTTGGGACTTAACCAGCCCAAGTCTCTTGTCCTTCTGCACCCGCCAGCTGTTTGCAGCGTGGCAGAGGCTATGTTGGGACTAAGCTCTGCCCTTTCCAATGTTTCTCAGTATGCACCCAGCTGCTGGTGTCCCGACCAGACGAGGAGAACATCACCAGTTACCTCCAGCTCATCGAAAAGTGCCTGACTCACGAGGTAAGACCTTCACTAGGGCTCCCAAGAAGAAAAGAGACTGCTCCACCCCTCTCAGGCCCACAGTGCACCAGGGCCCAGGTTCCAGCCCATCCTCCATCCTCTCCAGTGTTGCCTTCGAAGGCTTCTCAGCTTTTGTACACACTTTGTGGGAAGTGGCCATCTCCCACCTGTTCTCGGTGCTAGTACTTGTCCAGGTTTCCCAAGTCCCCTCACAAAACACTCCTGCTGGTTCAGGATTCCTTGCCTCTTGCTCTTCATGCTCACAGGGAGAGATGACTGCACTCAGTTACTACTGCGTACCTATCTCCCCCAGCTAACCGTGTAAGCATGGTCCTCTGTCCAGCATTCCCCTTCTCTCCCAATCTAGGCTTTCACAGAGACACAGAAGAAGCGGCTGCTGTCCTGGAAGCAGCAAGTGCTGAAACTCCTCCGGACATTTCCACGCAAAGCTGCGTTGGACATGCAGAACTACCGGCAGCAGAAGGGGTAGGTGGGCACCTTCCTAGGCCCATGGAGTTGGCATGAGGGTGCCTAAAAGGGTGATTGTGATTTGGAATGGACCCCTGCTATACTTACTCAAATCATCCAGTACAGAGTTTCTAGAAAATCAAGATGTACAACTTAAAAGAGAAAAAAGAAGGCCAGGGTTAGTGGCGCACGCCTTTAATCCCAGCACTTGAGAGGCAGAGGCGGTTGTATCTCTGAGTTCAAGGATACCAGGACTGCATAGAGAAACCCTGTTTCAAAAAACCAAGAGAGGGGGAGAGGGAGAAAGAGGATGGCACGGGACTTTAATCCCAGCACTCAGGAGGCAGAGGCAAGTAGATTTTCATGACGATGGGGGATGGGGAGGTGGAGTTTGTGGAAGGAGACTGGTTTGTGGAAAGGTGCTGACATTTAATTACCCTTCATAAAACGTTCTTAAGAGATGGGGCCCTGAGGAGGGAGAGTGGTTCTTCAGTCCAGAGAGGCTTCATTAGGGGAGATGTATCATCATGGCCGTATGCAGCCACAATGGGGCTTTGAAGGGAAGAAGAGGGAGCTGTCCTTCATATCTGGAAAACAAAGTGGGTTCTGGCTCTAACAGATCTTCAGGGAGATGGACAGCTTTAGGCCACATGATCTAGCTTACATGCTATGGGACATAGAAGTAGATACTAGGTAGAACCTTTGACTTGCTTTGCAGCTGCTAGAGGGAGGAGGGCTTGCAAGGTCATACACAGCACTGTCCTCTTTTTCAGCACTTATTTATGTTTGTGTGTGTGGGCACACATGCCTGGTAAGGATCAGAGGACAACTCTCGGAGTCAGTTCTCTCCTTATACCATCTGGGTTCCAGGGTTCAAACTCAGGTCCGGTGGTCTTGGTGCCCAGCACCTTTACCTGTGAGCCATCGTATGGACCCATTGTGTACTTTGTTATCAGCTCTCTGTCCCAGAGAGAGAGCTACAGGGTGCCCCTGACTTGTGGGCGAGAGAGAGTAAAGAAAGGCAGCTAGAGTCTGATCCAACAGTTAACAATACAAGTGTGCAAGGGCAGGGGCATTGTGTACAGAGAACTTGCCTGCTGTGCATGAGGCCCTGGCTTCCATCCCAGCACCACAGAAAAGAAAGAGCAGGATGCCGAGGTGGCCAAGCCCCAGCACGTGTCTATGGAGTAGACCCTGCTCCTGTACCTTTGTCTCCTTACCTGTATGCAGAAGGCTCTGAGGTCCCTTCTCACACCAGACCATACATTTCTCCCTTGAGAAGTGACATTTGGAGAACTGCTTTGAGGGCACAGCAAGGAAACCTCTCTATGCTTCCCATATCCATCTTGGGTCAGGAGGAGACAGGAATGTAGAGTGCAAGGACATGGTCAGGGAATCCTTTCTCAGAGCAAATTGGCGTTTTGTCCCACCCAAGGGACAAGAGATATGGACACTTCTACTTGAGCTGACACCCTGCCCTCTGCTCTCTGACAGCTGGGCATTTGGCTCCAACTCGCTCCCCATAGCTGGCTCTGTGGGGATGGGTGTGGCCCGGCGGACCCAGCGGCAGTTCCCAATGCCTCCTCGGGCCCTCCCACCTGGCAGGATGGGCCTCCTGAGCCCTTCAGGCATTGGGGGTGTCTCTCCTCGACATGCCCTTACCAGCCCCAGTCTTGGGGGTCAGGGCCGACAGGTGAGCTGGCTGGTATGGAAGTCCAAGTACTTCTGGGGTTGGGGTGGCAGTACCTGGGATGTGTGTCTGTACAAGGGCTTGGGTCTCTCCCACTCATCCTGACACTTTCTCCATGTTCTATGCAGAACCTGTGGTTTGCCAACCCTGGAGGCAGTAACAGCATGCCCAGCCAGAGCCGCAGCTCTGTGCAGCGCACGCACTCACTCCCAGTCCACTCGTCACCCCAGGCTATTCTCATGTTCCCTCCAGGTGAGGTGCCCTGCCTCTGGCATTCAGACTGGTCAACCTCCTCAGCTGACTTTTGTCTCCTCACCTGGGTCTCCCATCCACTCTCCCATCTGGATTTGTAGCAGGTCTCTCCAGGCTGTGCACCATCTCCCATCTCCCTGTGTCTTCAGGGAGGCATTTTCCTTCTCTGTTCATTAAGTCTATTGGGGCTCTCTCCCCTTCACGGAATACCTTATCTCCCCTCGGCTTACATGTCTTTTCTTTCCTATGCCACGGTCACTCTCTTTATAGGTTCGGTTCATACTCAGAAGGGGTTGAGTCTGAGAGGTCAGTGAGGAGACTGTAATTGATCAGCCCACCTCTGTTCTGTCAGAGGCTGGTGACTGCTGGATCCAGTGACTCTACCTCATAATGAGGTTCTGTGGTAAAGGGTGGTGAAGGTGGGCTCTTTCTCCTCTGCTCACACCAGCCTGGAGGTCAGAGGTCAGGAGGGTTGAGTGACAGGTGTCAGATCAAAGGCATGCTAACTCTGGGTTCCTGCTTGACTGGTTGAGGGAGACTGGCTCCTGGCTGGTCTACTCCTGCGTGCTTGGGCTAGGCATGGCATCTGTGACAGGAAGCTGGCTTCAGTGGGCTGCTCTGGACAGGTCTTAGGTTTGCAGGTGACCTAAGTTCTTGCAGTCAGAAACTTTTTATAGCCAGAAGAGTTTCTGAATTGATAAAATACTGTAGGCCTCTATCTGTGGTGCCAGAGAGTCTGTGTTCATCCTAGGGCAGGGCTTGGCAAACTGTGAGCATATATTGTGTAAATGGTGTTGAGTGAATGGGTGTGCCATAGGTGCAAAGGGTGGGAATTGTTCCAACAAGTGTGTTGGCCTGTCAGGCAGCCTCCCGTGATGCTCATGGGAAGAATGCTCAAGTCTGTTCTCACCTCACCAGTTACCAATCAGCTGCAAAGAGTGTTCAAGTTCAGAGCTTGTTTTTCAAAGAGCGACGGGGTCTCCTTAGGACCCAACTTCAGGGTTTAGATGGCTGGGGGTGAAAGATGAGACTTGAGATAGGAGTGAGACCCTAGGAGCACAGCTCAGAAGCTCAGGGGTTCTGAGATGAGGCAGAGTGCTTAGTTAGCAGTGTGGGACCTGAGCTCTCTTGGAGGTACTAAATAGGAGGTCCTTTTGAGAAGTGCTTTGAGGATACGCCCCATGACTCTTGTCCTGTTCACGACACCTGTTCAGCCTGGCTTACATCCTGTCTGGAGGCACAAGTCCAAGTGGACACAGGAAGGGCTTTAGCTTAGCTTTTAACCAAGCATAGAGGATAGGCCATCAATCAGCAAGAAGCTGCCCAGTGTCTGGGGCAGGTGCCCAGACTGCCCAAGGCAACTTAGAATCCATGTCCATAATAGTCAAAGCCTGTGTGTGGCCTCCAGGAACTCTCCCTCGGCTTCACATCACTTCCTCTGTCTGAAAAGTCTGGCTTTTTTTTTTTGCATTGCCAAACCCCTACCTTGGCTGTCTCTCTGCCTTCTTTGTGACACCCCTAGACCTGTGTTTGTCTCTTCCCAGCCATGTCTTCTACCCCTTTGTATGCATGCTTTCTGAGCTCTTTATGTCTTGGCCCCAGCCCCATGCCAGCAGTCTCTTGTCTCCCTTCCTTCCCTCTTCCCGTTCTGGTTGGTCCTCTCCTCACCACCATCATTGTCTTCTCTCCCACTCAGACTGCCCGGTACCTGGGCCTGACCTGGAGATCAATCCCACCCTGGAGTCTCTGTGTCTGAGCATGACAGAACACGCCTTGGGTGGTGAGCATTTTCTCTTCCCCTAACCTAGCTCCCACCTACCCAGCATCTCCAGCTATGAACCCAGCAACTTGGAGCCATCCTGAGGGTCCCAAGGGGAGGCCAGACTCCAGGGAGGGCCTGCCTGGGATGACAGGCTATGTGAGTGCCTTTCCTTAGGCCCCCCACCAGCTCCTGATCTTCCTCCCTTCCTCCCTTTCTTACCACAGATGGGACAGACAAAACCTCCACCATCTGACGGGACCCACAGCCCAGCGCACCCATAGGCTCCCTGGGCGGCGGGCGGGGGCCATCCCCCAACAGGCTTCTTCTCGGCAGCGAGAGGGTGGGCTGGCGCAGCTATACATTCTGATATTTTTCTACTCATCCTCTTTAACTTTTGTTTAACATTGGCACACGCCTTGCTCACTCCCAGGCCCATTGAGGGATCTCAGCTGAGGCCGGGGGTCAGAGAGGGCAGCCAGGGGCAAGGACTGGCGAGACTGCCTACCCCTTCCCTCCCAAATCCTGTGTTGGTCCCATCCCACCCCTGCCTCCTCTAGACTGCTGACCCCTGTCCTTCCCCAAGAGAGCAGACTTCCGTAGACACTGACCACCACCGTGTGCAGCCTTGCCCTTCAGAAACATGGCAGTGAGGGAAGGAGTGTGGACAGCCTGCTCACCAGTATGTCACTGGTTCCTACCATTCCCCAGGACAGTCACCACCTTCCTCCCCCTCTTTTTGCCCTGTTTATCAGAGGTTCTCTACAATTAATTTCTTAGGCCTATTTAAGATACATATTTATATAGTTCTTAACGGTTTTTCTCTGATCATTCCCTGTCATTTTTAGAATCCCCAGGCCTCTCTCTGAGCCGGGACAGTGGCAGGGGGAGCCTGAACTTTATGAGAGGAGAGGGCAGAGCCCCCTCCTCCAGACCCCCTCGCCCTTCCCCATCCCAGCCCTGGCTCCTAGATGCAGAGGTTGAAGGTGGGCAGCCCCAGGCCCACAGTGAGGTCAGGAAGTCTGTTGCCTTAATGTCCCCTTCCCCCACCAACATAATCCTTCTCTGCTCCCCGGGTCTTTTGGCAAAAGACTTGTGGGTAGGAATCAGGGAAAGGGGATTGTTGGGTTTCTGTTTTCCTGCCTATCCCCTCTTTCTGTCAACCTTCCCCCACCCCCATTATGTCATGACCTCATATAAGTGGAACACTATATCATAACTCAGAGGTGCAGCCCAGCCTGAGTCACACAAACCCTCTGCTCCCTATTACTGATGAGGGCTGGTGCTGGGGCCCAGGTGAAGGGAGGGAATTTGGGGGTTCAGGCTGTGGGGAAGCCAGGGTCCCCTACTCCAAACTCCTCTTTCCCCCTAAACCTACACCCTCATTGGGACATTCTCAAGCTTTTCACACGAAAAGGAAAAAAAATGTTATTTTTAGATACATTTTATGAATAACTTTTGTTATGAATATGGCTGGTAACCATTGTGTATGTTATTAAAGATACAAAATGTTGGGAAAAAACAAAAAACCAAAAAAAAAACCAAAAAAAACAAAAAAAAAAAAATTGAAAACCACAGCCTTCCCTGCACTATCTGCCCATCCCCCAGACCTTGCCCCTGCCTCCTGGTCTGTAGACCTCCCCTGCTCTGAGCCCAGGGAGGGAGAAGAAGCCAGGGGGTAGTGTGGCAACGGGGACCTGCCTCTGGTCCCCACCACCTCTCCCAGTGCCGGGCTGGGCGGGGTGCCAGGTGTATTTATGTACCTCTTGCACACTCATCAACCTATGCAAGTCCCCACCCCGGCCCTCCAGGTTTCTGTGCCTTTGCTCATTCCCTCTAACTCCCAGGCTTCTCCGGCCCCTCCCACTAACTGTGGGAAGTGGGGTGAAAGGCCACCTGTTTGAAATAAGCAGGTTTCCCTCTCATGGGACCCTCACCTCCACGAGCTGGTCTAGTCTTGTCCACTTCCCATCAGGGTGACTGACCCTGCTTGGCACTGGAAGGTGGTGAGGGATATCCTCCCCCAGAGGGAGGTGAGAGCTTGCCCCCCACCTGACAGCAGAGTGCAGGACGCAGGCGGCCCCACTCTGACAGGCAGGACCCTGACCCTCCGACTCCCCAGCCCTCTCCATGGTTTCGCCCTACCCTACCCACTTCTGTCCCCAGCCCCACTGGCAGAATCAGCTTTGAGTAACTGTACATTTTCTCGCTGTTGGAGAAGACTTATTTGTTGGAGTTTCAATTGTTAATGGTCTGGGCTTATTTTGGAAAAAAAAACAAAAACAAAAAAAAACAAAACAAAAAGATTCTGATTTTTGTTACACTGCATCTCCTGGGAAATCCATGGGACTTGCTTTTGTGCTTTAAGTGGAGATCCTTGAGCGTCTGGGGGTAGGGATGGGCTGGGTGAAGGGGAACAGAAGCTCTGGGAGGTGAAGTCAAGAGAAGTTAGTTTTATTAACAGCAAAGACTGGGGGTGGGGATGAACAAAGGGCTCACAAAACAGACAACTAGAAAAGTGCTTCCCTGCCCTAACGCTGTCTGTGCTGGCCTCCTCCTCGGGAGGCAGGCCTTGAGGCTCAGTCACTGTCACTGTCAGCCTCACTGGAATCCGAAGCTGCAGCTTCACTGCCATCCTCCTGAGCTGAGTGCTCACTGCCACTGGGGAAAGGGCTAGCACTCCGGCTACGACTCCGGCTCCTGCTCCGGCTCTGGCTGCGGCTCCGCTGGCCACCCCCATCACTGCCACTGTCCGATTCATTGTCACTGTCCCTACGGGCCTGCCCTCTGTCCTCATCATCAGAGTCGGCATCATCTTCTGAATCAGCATCACTACCGAAAATTTCTTCTTTGTCCCGGGCAGCACGAGCTTCATCCTCACTGCTCTCCTCCTCGCCGCTGCCACTCTTGTCACTTGCCTCATCCCTGTCACCCTCCTCTCGGTCACTCTCGCTGCCAGAGCGCTCATCCTCACTGCCTTCCTTTTCACTGCTGCTGCCCTTCTCGGGCTCCTCATCTGCAAGGAAGCAGGGACAGGTGAGACCCCATTGCCCGCCCTCCCGGGGCTCCCAGGATGGGACCAGTCCCTTACCTGAGCCCCCAGCTTCTTTCTCTTCAGCCTCCATCTCCTCCTCCTCCTCCTCCTCCGGTTCGTGGTTTTCCAACTGGGCCTTTCGTGCCTCCTAGAACCAGTGAATCGGGAAAAAGATGGAAGGTGTTCTGTCAGACCTCTAACCCTGTCCTTACCCACCACTAGCCTCCCTGTGGGTGTCCTGGGCCAGCAGAGCTTGTTACCTGGGCTTCTAATTCCTTCTCATTCATGTCACGGTGTTTGACCACAAGCAGGGCATTGGTACCCGACTGAACCCCAGCCTTGGCCCGACGCTTACTAAGACGGACCCTGCAGTGGACAGTTGCAGAAGGTGGAAGAGTCAGTTACAAACTCCCCTGGGACCACTCTCACTGACACCTGGGTCCTTACCAGTGGTTGGCCCAGAGCACAACAGAGTACAGAGTATACATACAGTATACATTAGAACTATGGGGAGTTAATGTCTGTGGTTTGATTTACCCAACTTTTAAGTTGTGTGCTTTTAAGATATATTTTTTAAGTGAATGGGTGTTTTGCCCCAATGTATGTATGTGTACCATGTATGCAGTGCCCTCAGAAGCCAGAAGAGGGCATCAGATCCTCCTGGCAACTGGAGTTAGCAGGCAGTTGTTAATTGCTATGTGAGAACTAGGCTAGGGAACCAGGTCCTCTGGAAGAGCAGCAGCCAGTGTTCTTCACTGCTGAGCAATATCCTAAGGCCCCTTACCCAACTCTCAAAAACATGGAAATGGCAACTTTTGGGTTTCTGGCTTTTAAATAGGAAGAACATAGCAAGAGTAGACTGAAGCTGGATTGTAGTAATCACTTAAAATATTGTCACCCTGCCTGTTATCACTTCTTCAGCCAGACTACAGGATCAGAGCCTGTCACCTCTGTACTGAACAGAAACTCAAGCCACAGCCAACAGGACAAGTTAGCTTTCAGCCCTCAGAGAAGAGCTCCGAAGTGACACTTCTGAAGTTGTGTCACGCATTTTGTTTAAAACCTGTTCTGAAGGGCTGGAGGAGATGACTCAGTAAAGTGCCACGGTGGAAGGAGAGAATAACTCTCCCCCAGTTATCCTGGCTTTCATATGCATGCACACAAAGTAGAACAACAGGAAAACAACTGATAGCAACCCTCTGACCTCCTGAACAAACACATTACATACAGAAAAACTAATAAACTGTTAGACTAGGGATGTATCTTAATAGCAGGGCACTTGCCTAACATGTGCGAGAAAAATGACTTTATATCCTGCATTATGTGAAGATTCTCTTTCTGGTTTATGATATCGGACCCAGATCAAGGTCAAGCCACATTAATAAGCAGGCTCCTGCTGCTCTCACAAACACATATAGCAAATCCTTAGGTACATATGCCCTCAGAGGAGTTCTTGTGTAGCCTCAAGAAACATAGGGCCAACAGAATAGTGGTGGCGCACGCCTTTAGTCCCAGCACTCGGGAGGCAGAGGCAGGTGGATCTCTGAGTTCGAGGCCAGCCTGGGCTACAGAGCGAGTTCCAGGACAGCCAGAGCTACACAGAAACCCTGTCTTAAAAAAACTAAAAGTAAGGATAGAGCCAAACTAGTGAAACAGTACTGAGTACCTGGTCTCCAGCTCATTGTAGTAAACCCCATCGCCCTCTCGGAAGATGAAGAAATAGTTCTCCTCATAGCCCTTACTGGCTTTGTTCTTCACATTCCAGTTGTATTCCCGAGCAATCTTGTAGTCATACCTGAGGAGGAGATACAAGGTCAGTCCACTTGTTCTGAGGAGTAAAGGGGGCGTACTTCTGAATTCCCAAAATCTAACCCTTACACTTACACATCATCTGGTGCATAGTCCATCTCTTCCTCCTGGTCCCGTTTTCGTTTCTTTAGTGTCTCTTCCACGGGCAGGAAATAAGCCACAAACTGGTTCCCTTCCTCATCCATCATGCCCCTGATTGTGGGGAGAAGAGAGTAAAGGTGTGGTGACACATGCCTGTGAATTCAGCATTCCAGAGGTTGAGGCAAAAGGAATGCCAGGAGTTGGAGGTCAGCCTGGGCAACAAGATTATACCCTATCTCAAGAACACCCAAATGGGGGCCAGGCAACAAGCAGGCTAAGGTAGAAAGCAGAACCGCTGACCTGATCATGGCCTGAGACATCATCTCTAGTGCAGCTGCCCCACTCGTGTCCTTAGGGGCTGGGTCTGAGTCAAAAATGACCTGAGCACATGGGTTGATCCACATCTGGGAAATGGAAGACACGAAAGTCAGTCTGGACTGGACAGGCATAGCAGATTGCCCTGCCTCCCACCCCAAGCCTGACCTTGAAGTCTGGGAAGACAGGCATGACCTCCACTGGTGTCACTCGGGGCTTGCTGTAATGCTGGGAGATCTGGTAGAACAAAAAGGGTAAGAAAGAGGAAGAACCTAAACCACACTTTTGCTTTTATCCCATTTCCCCAATTACCGATTTCTGGGCATCTTCAAAAGTCTTCTCAATAGCTGTGATCTGGCTGTCCCTGTCTTTGTATATTTCTTCCTCTGTGAACTGCTGCTTCACAGAAACCCCAATCCTAGGAGTGAAGAAAAAGTCGTTAGGGACCTTTGGACATCTCTAAGGTCTTGCTCCCTTTCCTTCCTATCTGTTTGCACTTACTTGACCTCAGGCTTCTCATTGGAGATGCCGTATCTGTTGAACTCGGTGGAGATATACTCTGTCTTCCGCATCCATGGCACCACCTTCGCATGCTGCTGGGATCTGGAGTAGAAGACCAGGCACCTCAGGGTCCCATGCTTGGCAGAGCCCATCCAGTACCCATGTGGCACTACCTCACCTCTTAGAACTAGTGGGTGCCTGAATCTCCTCTTCCAAAAGCTTCTCATCAGCTGGATCCAGAAGAACTAGGGAGTGAGGGGTAGGACTGTGAGGGTTGCCCAGGCCTGGCCTTTGTTGACCTACAGCAGACCCTCCCTGTCTCCCCACACACCATTGGGATCAATGCGGTAGGTGTCAGGGTTGATGAGATCAATGGTGACCCCCAGGTCAGGCTCAGTCAGGAGGTCATGTTTGTGCTGTTTCTCCAAGGAAGTTGCTTTGTACTGAACAAACCTGGGTGGGAAAACGTGCATGTTGTAATTTCCTGAACCACCCTCAACCCCCACATCCTCCCTTCCTAGAAGTTAAGCCTCTATGGAGAGGAACTCAGAATGTGTTCCCAGCATTGGCAGCTAGCTTCTCAGAAGGGTATTGCATGCTGCTTTCTCTATTAGTATTTATTGAGCACCTCCTATGTGCTAGCACAAGGGAGAAAGATGCAATGAAATAAGCAGTCCTTACCTTCAGTGAACTATTTCTTAGGAGTTTTTCCATCCTTGAGCTCAATCTTACCTGTTCTGGTCGAAGGGGTAGGTGATGAACTTAGGGTCAAATGGGATGTCAGGAAGGCTATTGCAGTATTTGACTCGGCAGACCACTCCAGACCTAGAGAAACAGTGGCTCAGAATTAGGCACCACAAGCCTGCAGAGGTGATCAGCAGTTAAGAGGAAGTACTTATCCTGTAGAGGACCCAAGCTTGGTTCCCAGCACCCACCCACATCAGGCTGCTAACAACCACCTGTAACTCCAGATCCAGGGAGATCTGACACCTGTGGCCTCTGCAGGCAGTTGCACAAAACATGCACATACACATACACCTAATTAAAAAAATAATAGAAATAGCTGAAGTTGGTGGCACAGGCCTTTAACCCCTGCACTTAGGAGGCAGGCAGATCGCTGAGAAGTTTAGGCTACTGATGGTTTACATAGGGAGTTCCAGGCCAGTCAGGGACACAGAGCAAAACTGTCTCAAAAGAAATACTTGCTGGGCGATGTTGGCACTTGCCTTTAACCCCAGCATTCGGGAGGCAGAGGCTGGTGGGTCTCTGAGCTCCAGGCCAGCCTTATCTACAAAGTGAATTCCAGGATAGTCAGGATAAAGAAACCCTGTCTCGAGGAAAAAATTAAAAATAGGGATAATAACCATTTTTAAAACAAACAGCCTCAGGCTGACAAGATGGATCAGGAGGTAAAGGCATCTGCTGTCATGCCTGAGGGTCCGAGGACCTGAGTTTAATCACTCAGACCTATACCTATATGGTGGAAGGAAAGAAGTGACTATAACAAGTCTTTTCACTGCCACACACGGCTGAGATGTGTACACACAAGATTAAAACAAACCAAAAAAAACCCACCAACAACAAAAAAACGAGGCCTCTGCTGCTGGGCACAGCCACAGGCCTGCGATCCCAGCACCCAGAAGGCCCAGGGACGAAGACAGCGAGTTTGAGGTCATTCTGGGTCACTTGATGAGACGCTCAAAAGCACAAAAGGCCCCCACCGCCCTGCCACCGCGGCCAGCGTCCGTGTCCCACCCCTCCTGGAAAACGTAGTGGGGCTCACCTCTCAGGCAAGGTCCGGTGGGAATTGGGCCTGGGGGGGTGAGAAAGAGAGACTGATGTCAAGGGTTTGACAGGTGGTGGAAAGACGCTTCTCCCAATTTCCGAAGGAGTGATGCTCTGGTCCCCTTAGGACGGAGCCCCACATGCGTCCCTGAAGGGGACTGAGGGTTAGGTAGGTCCCTTCCCGAGAATCCCGAAGGTGGAATTCCAGAACTGAATGGCAGGGGACCAGGGAGTGACCAGAGGCCTAGAAGGGCCGTCCCGTCGCCAGGGGTGAGCACTGCACGACCTCGCAGGCCGATCACAGAGAACCAGTGACGTTGTAAGCGGCAGCCCTCGGCCTAGTCCCCGGCTTGCAGCTCACAGCACAAAAGGAAACAGCAGGTGGCAGGGGACCTACCTGTGGCCTTCTTCCCGCTGGGCCTGGGTCTGGATGGTGGGCGCCATCGCGACCAGGCGACGGCGGCGCGGGCTGTGTCCTCGCTGGCCGCGGGCCGACGCTGAGGGGCGTGCCGACTTGGAGAGACGCCGGAGCTGAGGACAGGCCCCGGTGGGCGCTGGGCTCCGCGGGGAAAGGCGGGATGAGGTGGGCCGGCGAGAAGGGCTCGGCTGAGACTCAGTAAAAGCGCGGGCAGCGCCGGACGCGGCCTCACGGCTCCCGCTGCCACAGCCACCTAGACGCTGACGACCGGACAGGTAGCCTCAGGCCGCAAGGCCTTCGGGGAAATAGAGTGCGGTCAGTCCCTCACGGCGATTGGCAAGCTGGGGCGAGGGGGCGGGGCCAACGGAGAACCGCTTTTATGATTGGTGGAACGATACCCAGTCACGGCCTCGGCTTTGAGACGGGAGAGGCGAACGCACATCCTCTCCTTTCATTGGCTAACCGGTCTGGGAGGCAGCGCTAACTAGCAAAAGAAGCCAGCGCTCGGAAGAGGCTGGAGAGAGAGCGGAGCGGACGCGCTTGTGACGCACATCCTGTGTTCTGCCTGAGGAAAATGGCAGCGCCCCAGCAGCAGGCTTCGGCCGTCTCCTCCGCCGCGGGTGTTTCAGGTCCGGGCTCTGCCGGTGGCCCGGGTCCCCAGCAACAGCCGCAACCGACGCAACTGGTGGGACCTGGCCAGAGTGGGCTCCTACAGCAGCAGCAGCAGGACTTCGATCCTGTGCAGCGCTATAAGATGCTCATCCCTCAGCTGAAGGAGAGTCTCCAGGTGATGGACCGCACGCTGCGGGGAGCGAGCCGGGCTGGCGGGCTGGCGGGCTGGCGGGCTGGCGGGCTGGCGGGCTGGCTCCGAGGAGGTGCGCCGAGGTGATGAAGGAGAGATCGTAGGCAGGGAAGAGAAGTTAGATTGGCTGTGTCTGTGTGTCTGTGTCTGACCGGCCGTAGTGGTGCACGCCTTTAATCCCAGCACTCGGGAAACAGAGGCAGGCGGATCTCTGTGAGTTCGAGGCCAGCCTGGGCTACAGAGCGACCTTCAGGCCAGCCAGGGCTACATAGTGAGAATCTGTGGAAAGAGAGAAAATGAGAATGAATGGGAAAGAAGAATTTTAGCCGGGCGGTGGTGGCGCACGCCTTTAATCCCAGCACTCGGAAGGCGGAGACAGGCGGATCTCTGTGAGTTCGAGGCCAGCCTGGTCTACAGAGTGAGTTCCAGGACAGCCAGAGCTACACAGAGAAACCCTGTCTTGAAAACCAAAGGAGGAGTGGGGAAGAGTGAGTGAGTGAGTGAGTTTATGGGGGAGAAACAGTTGTGGTCGTTAAGTCCTCTGCAGAAGACCGGCCTACGCGTCGTTCCTGGCTGTGCCGACTGGGTAAAGGGTATGCCTAGGAAGCTGCTGGTGAGAATTCCAAATGAGAGTACGCATCTAGGAAAATATCGGGAGAGAGTTCTATAGGGATGGCAATGAGCTGTAGTCTGTATTGTCAGGATGAAGGCGCCTGCTGAAAGAAGACTCAAGGGTCTCAAGAGCGTAGATCCGCCGGGCGGTGGTGGCGCACGCCTTTAATCCCAGCACTCGGGAGGCAGAGCCAGGCGGATCTCTGTGAGTTCGAGGCCAGCCTGGGCTACAAAGCGAGATCCAGGACAGGCTCCAAAGCTACACAGAGAAACCCTGTCTTGAAAAAAAAAAGTGTAGATCCTCTTTGACTTCATCTCCTGCATCTTACTTTTCTCTCTCATTCTTTTAAAACTAGACTTTGATGAAGGTTGCAGCCCAGAACCTGATTCAGAACACTAACATTGACAACGGACAGTGAGTAAAGGCTCTTTCCTTCCGCAGCGTTAGAAACTCCTCCCCACGCCCACCCTCTCCTTTTCAAGCCTTGCGGGACCCCCTAGGCCTGGGCTTGATTTGTTGGTGACCACTTGATTAGTTATAGACTGATGCTGGTGTCCCAGAGATTGGAAATCATTCCTCAAACAGCCTTTCCTCCTTGGCCGTAGAAAGAGCAGTGATGGACCCATACAGCGATTTGACAAATGTCTGGAGGAGTTTTACGCTCTCTGTGACCAGCTGGAACTCTGCTTGGTAAGGAACTTTCTAGATACTTTGTGACCAAGCTCTGCTTAATTCCCCACAAGAACATTTTGTTTGTTTGGTTGGTTGGTTTTCCGAGACAGGGTTTCTCTGTAACTGCTCTGGCTGTTCTGGAACTCACTCTGTAGCCCAGGCTGGCCTCGAACTCACAGCCTCCCCAGTGCTGGGATTAAAGGCGTGTGCCACCAATGCCCAACTAAGAACATTTTTTAAAGCTGTTTTGAGATGGTATCACTCAGTAGTACAGGCTATCCTGACACTAGTCTGTAGACCAGGCAGGCCTCAAACTTGCAAAGCTCCTCCTGCCTTCACATTTGAGTGTGCCGAGATGACAGGTGCACACCTCGCTTTGAACCCTCAGTCAGTCAGTCACTCCTCGGTCAATTCCTCTGAGATAGGCATGTGCTTCAGCTGGGGTGAGGGCTCTGTCTGTCCTGATTCTTACCCTCACAGGTCTCCTTGTTCAGTAGAGTGACAGATATAAGACCAAAGAGGGGCAGCTCCCAGGGGTGGAGGCTGTGGCGACAGGAGTCTGGACCAGAGTGGTCAGGTTGTCTGTGCAGGCTGAGGAAGCTCAGGGCATGTGGAAGCCTGGAGCAGGGAGAGAGTGATTCAGAAGGCTGCTGGTGGAACCTGGAATTCTACCTGACAGTCTGCCTGGAGGGGAGCAAGGACAAGGCCTGAAGGGAGGGCATGGGGACCTGTGATGTGAGCAGGAGCTTCAGGCTGTAACTGGCTGATTGGTTTAGGGCAAAGCCCAGGAGACTTGAATGGGCAGGCAGAGAAGCAGGCATGGAGCATAGGCCAGCTCCATGGGGGATATGGGGAGCAACATTGAGGAGGTACTGTAGTTGGAAAGTGTTTGCTATGCAAGCAATAAGGGCCTAAGTTTGATACCTAACACCCACATAAAAAGCTGGGCATGGCAGTATATGCCTATAATCCCAGTGCCGGGAGGTGGAGATAATTGGATCTTTGAGGCTTTTAGCTAGCCAGCCCAGCCTAATTGGCTAGCTCCAGGGCCCAGTTAATGATCCTGTCCCAAAAAAAAAAAAAAAAAAAAAACCAAGGAGGGGGCAGGTCTTGAGGAACAACATATGAGGTTGACCCTTGGCCATGCAGCCTCACCCACACACTCACACATATACACACAAAAATTCCCCTAAGGGACCAGGCCTGCTAGTATAGTCCTATTTTCCCAGCTGCTTAAGAGGCTGAAGCAGGAGGGTCAGAATTCAAGACCTGTCTGGGTGAGTAGGTGAGATCTTGCTTTAAAACATAAAAAGAAGAGCTGGGCATGGTGGCTCATGTCTGTAATCTTAACAGTTGAGAAGAGGCTGATGCAAGAGGACTACCATGAGGTCCAGGCTAGCCTGGGCTAGAGTAAAGCCTTTTTCAAAAAAAAAGAAAAGTAAGATTGGTGATTTAGCTGAGTGGTAGCGTTTCCGTAACACAAGTAAAGCTGTAGATTGACTCCCCAGCACCACACTCTCCAGTCAGCCGCTGGGGGCGTCAGGAGACTGGGCTGAGGTGTATAGACTGGGTCTCACTAACCTTTGGATATAACCAAGTGCACTGGAAAGTGAGGCAGGAGGATCTCTGAGTTCAAGGCCAGCCTGGTCTACAGAGTGAGATCCAGGACAGCCAGGGCTACACAGAGAAGCCCTGTCTCGGAAAAACCAAAAACTGGAGGGAGCCCAAGGAGGCAGTCACGGTTGAGCTGAGAGGCAGGAGTGGGGCAGATAGAAGCTTGGAGGCTTTGCCAGGCCATCAGACTGGTGGACTGTTGGGGGAGGGGGTCCAGGGTGAGGGCCAGGGCTGGGATTGGAATTAGGAAGTGTGTTAGATGATTTCTGGGGCTGTTCACCCCCTAAAGAGAGCCAGGTTCAAAAGCCCAGCACGGTGATGTGAGCTCACTGGTCACATGGTGGAGTGAGTACCATGACCCAGGTGCACCACTGCAAATTCTAACCCTTGCCACCCAGCTTTGTGTGTGTGTGTGTGTGTGTGTGTGTGTGTGTGTGTGTGTGTGTGTGTGTGTGACAGAGACAGAGAGAGGAAGAGAGAGACAGACAGAGGGAGAGAGGGAGAAAGAGGAGAGAGACAGACTGGTCTGACCCACCTCCCAGTTGCTGGGAGTATAGGCATGGAGCCCTATGCCTGGCTCCTATCAGGGTCTCTCCTGGCCTCAGCAAGCACTGTCTAGCCGTGGGAAGGACACTGCAGTCTGGCACACAGAACAGCTACATGGAGTTTGTTACAAGCTGGGATTACTTTCCCTGGATTAGGAGGACTACCCCTACTAAGGGAGTCAGCTCTGACAAGGGCTCACAGGGAGAAGCAGTGTGGGAGCAGAGGCGCAGGCCCCATCAGTGCAGAGGAGGGATCTGAGCAGTGGGGAGAGGGGCAGCCTTGGAAGGGGACCAGGGTGGAGTACTGCCCCCAGGAGAAGGGAGAGGACCAGGTGCAGGGGCCATCAAGGGGGTGGAGCCCAAGCCTGGGGTTTAGGGCAGGAGCATCAACAGCAGCTAAGGTTCATCAGTTAGTACTTAAAAGCAGTGTAGCGCCTATACTGTGTCACACCAGACTAGAGAGGTTGCTGTTTAAGGAACTAAGCATGGTGTTACACTGGGTAATTTTTTTAAATTATTGCATTTGATTGTGGGCAGGGCATGCTTGTGCACATTCAGAGGTCAGAGGATGTCTTGTGGTAGTTGATTTTTTTTTTTCCCTCCTGCTATGTGGGTCCTGGGAAAATAGAACCCAGTTCTTGTCAGGCTTGGCAGCAGTTGACTTTCCAACAGAGCCATCTGCCTGGCCAGTCTGGTTGTGTGCACTGTAATCCCAGCTCTCAGGAGGATAAAGTAGTAGGGTAAAAGCTTGAGGCCAGCCTTGTCTGCGTAGCCAGTCTGTGACTCAGCCAACACCAGAAAACACTTCATAACCCAGTCCCACTGAGAAGTAACCCCAAGTCCTAGATGATCCAGCAAGAGGCTGGCAAACCAGACACTGGCCTCGGAGACCCAGAGCCCACCAAGTCAGCCCAGATTGAGTGGTGGGGGGTGGCTGCAGGTGCCTGGAACTGATGCTGTTGCTGTTCTCTTGCCTGCCTTCTCACAGCGCCTGGCCCACGAGTGCCTGTCACAGAGCTGTGACAGCGCCAAGCACTCTCCAACGCTGGTACCCACGGCCACCAAGCCAGATGCCGTACAGCCGGACAGCTTGCCCTATCCTCAGTACCTGGCCGTCATCAAAGCCCAGATTACCTGTGCCAAAGACATTCACACTGCCCTGCTGGACTGTGCCAACAAGGTCACAGGCAAGACGACTGCAGCCTCAGCTGGCCCTGGGGGCAGCCTCTGAGGACTTGGTGAGGGCGGGGGCAGAGAGAATGAAGAAAGGCCTGAGGTAAAACAGGCGCCTCCTGGTTTATTTGTCATGCCAGAGCAATGTCGCTGAAACCAGCAGGGGGCAGCAGAGACTTGCAGCCAGCACGGGCCAGCTACTCTGCTCCCTGACCTAGGGTGGCCCTCCAGCTGAGCTGGGATGACCTGTTCCAGGGACTCTCCCTCCTCCCTTACTTCCCTCTCCCACCTGGCCCTGGATGCGGCACTGCCTGGGCCCTTTAGACCTTCCTCGTTCTGTCCCCTGTAGGCATTCTTTTCTTTCTTTCTTTCTTTCTTTTTCTTTTTTTTGTTTTTCGAGACAGGGTTTCTCTGTGTACCTTTACGCCTTTCCTGGATCTCGCTCTGTAGACCAGGCTGGCCTCGAACTCACAGAGATCCACCTGGCTCTGCCTCCTGAGTGCTGGGATTAAAGGCGTGCGCCACCACCGCCCGGCTAGGCATTCTTTTCTAGCCCGTCTTCTCCAGTCCTGCCTCCGTCTACTGTCCCCTGTTGTTGCCTTTTGTCCCCAACTCCTAAGTGGGAATATGAATATAAGGGGAACCAAAATGCTGGGTTACCTGGGGCTACAGGAAGGGACTTTCTGGCCCAGAAAAGGAGAAGTGCAGGAATGTAGGTCCTGACCTCAGCACACACGACCTAGGAGCTTTGGGTCCCGGCTCTGCCCTGCGTCAGCAGGGCTCTAGCGGGGAGCATTGTGCAATGTGTGGGAGGCCTGCTCCAAGGGACTCCTGGGTCCCTATATTTTTAGCCCCAAAGCAGAAGTGAAAAGGCCCCAGCAGGAATGAATCATGGGTTCTGGGGAAGAACCTAGCTTCTCCGGGAAGCAGGCCCTGGAGAGGGGGCTTCAGGGACGGAGGGAGGGAGAACCCCACAAGCACCCCACTTCCCAAAGATCTGAGGAGCTCAGCTAGAGCCTGCGGGCCTGGATAAGTGGTAGATGGAACTACCAACCCAGGCCCAGCAGTGAAAGGAACTGTCCCACCCAATACCTTCTGTGCCCTGGTTCCCGTGTCACCAAATGATCTGCAGGAGCTCAGGTTCCCACCCTGGGAAAGCTGGGAAGTCCTCGAAGTGCAAGTGCGTACACACCACCTGGGCATTCCTCTCCCTGCCTGCCTTCATTGCCCGGAAGCCTGAGTTCTACCCGTTTGTTTGGTTAAATCATCCCCTGCATTCCCCAGGTCCTTACCTAAAGTCATTGATCTTGAGCCTGGAGACAGGGTCTCACTCCATAGCCTAGACTAACCTCACAAACTAGTCCAGGCTGCCATCTAACTCAGCTGTCCACTGCCTCAACTTCCCAAGCGTTGTGATTATATCCTCTGTGCGTGTGTGTATGCATGGAAGATGCACCCATGTGTGGAGGGAGAGATGGCCTTGGGTGGAGCAGGTCTCCTTTCCTCTTGGTCTGAGGCAGGGATAGTCCTTTGTCATCCTGTTGTGTCTCCTGCACCACACTCCAGGCTAGCTGGCCTAGGAGCTCCCAGCTGATTGTCCTGTCTTCACCTCCCTCTTCTCCACAAAAGGGTTGGCGATGACAGATTCAATGCAGAGCACCATGTTCAACTTTTTGAGATAGAGTCTCATGTAGCCCAAGCTAGTCTTGAACTTGGGATCGATCCTCCTGCTTCAGGCTCGCAACTCCTAGGATTACAGGGCTGCACCACCATTTGCTTTAACTACACTTACAAAATGCCTTGATATCTTGATGTGGAGGCAAGAAAATTGCAAGTTCAAAGTCATCCTGGGCTACACAGTAAAACCTCCCCTCATCTCAACCAACAGAAAAAGCCAAGCCCTCAGCATACCTAGATAGTAATTGGAACTATCTCCCAAAGTGACACAGCAAGTGATGACCTGGGCATTATCCCTTGGGTACCCAACACACATCTCCTTGGCCATTCTTTGTTTCTAGAAAAATAATCTTTGGTTCAGGGATATAGTGATCTTGTATACAATTGAAAATACAAGGCAAAACACATCAGTTTCCAACCAGGGACTCACGCCATCTATTTGCTAGGATATGGCAATCTGGTACAAGGAGACAGGTGCCGCTGGCCCTCCAGGGTGATGTCAGCATGGCACATGCAGGTAGGCCTGGCATCCAGCACTCAGACGCAAGGCCCAACTGCTTAAAACCACACTCCGGGTGACAGGTGTGCATTCCAGACCCCCACCATGGAAGATGGGCACCAAGCTATATTCATTCAAAAAGCAGGGCAGCTTTTGTAGGGCCCTGGGCAATGTGAGTGGAGATTCCTATATTCCTAGAGATTAACAAAATGCAACATGGTGTACAAGCCTGTAATTCCAGCATGCAGGAGAACCAATACAAGTTTTAGGTCCAGACAGAGCTACATGGTGAGAGCCTGTCTCTAAAGAGAAGAGAGGGGTGTGGGGGGCCACTGAGGTAGCTCCATGGGTAACCACACTTGCTACCAAGCCAGGTGACCTAAGTTCAGTCCCTGAACTTGCTTGTTGGAAGGAGGGAACTGACTCACACAAGTTGTCTTCTGACCTCCACACACACTTGTTTAAAAAAGATGTGGGCTAGTGGCCTACACTCATGCTAGCATTTGAGAGCCTGAGGCAGGAGGACGGCTTGAGACCAGCCTGGGCAGAAATAAGCCAGTCTGTCAAAGAAACCCTTGCTAAGCAGGTGACAGCAGACTGGAAGGAAGAGGAAATGGGTCTTATGGGTACCCCCAGCAAAAGTGTCGGGAAGCACAGAGCACCGGCCAACCTCTGGCAGGAATGTGCTCTCAGAAGTGAAGAGGTTTGGGCTAGGTTCGGGGAACACAGGAGGAAGCTTGGATGGGTCATGAAGGGCCTTTTCCCAGTCTTACGGGCACAGACGGAGTCGTACAGTCCTGTGCAAAACCCCACGCCAGGGAGGGATGTGTATGAGATGAAAAACCACAGAGCCAGCCAAAGTGGCCCATGCTTGTAATCGCAGCACTTGAGAGGCAGAAGTAGGAGGCTTGTTTCTCCTATCTACAGGCTGACCCACCCCCAGCAGGGATTAGCACACTGGCCATCCTCCCACACACGTGGACCCTGCTCCATGAGCAAGTACTAAAGCAAGCATCTGACCACGTGACCACGGAACCCTGTAACCACCACTTAGCCCACTGTGATCTCTCACCCCATCAAGACTTTGCCCATCACAGCTGACTCAGCTCTGTGGCCGAGCAGCCTCATTCGCTGGGGACAGATAAGATTGGCTCAGACACTCAGCATCTAGGTGCGGGCGTGTGCACGTCTGTTCTGCCCACAGAGGCAGACACAGGAGCATAACACAACCAGCAACTCGCCCCCATCATGTGCCCGCTGCTACGTCAGGCACCAAAGTTCACTGGTTTCACTGCCTTGTGACTGGTCCACAGAGGAACTATGTCCAGACTCAGGTCTACCACGTAACATCCAAGACAACATCCAAGACAGCCACAAACAAGGGCACAGACCCACGAATACCATTCGAACACATGCTACAACAGTGCTGGGTGAGCCACAGAAAGCCCACACTCTACTTCAAGGTCCTGTGTGCACAATCCCATCACCCACGCACCTGTGAGGAATGACACACTAAGTCACCCCAGATCCCACAGCAGTTCGGTTACACACAGATGGGGGGATGGAAGTGACAGTTCCCATGAAGCCCCTCAAAGACAGCTGCAGTAGTTACAGTTGACAATCCTCCAGAGGCCATCTGCAGCACACATGATCTAGTCTGTGGTACAGACCGGTGGCTTCACATTTATTTACAGGGTCCTGTTCTATGGGGACCTTAACCACGGGCCACAGAATCGTCCTCACCTACGCCCCCAATTGCATACCTAGGACTCCCCACAACACACCCGCAAGCACACTGGCATATTGGCTGTTCCCCTGCAACACCCTGCCTGGACCACACTCGCAGGCAATCACGACAGGCACACACGTGCCGTGCCGCGAGTACACGGGCCCTCTAGCCCGCCCACCGGCTCTCACACCCCCAAGTTTCCCGTCGCCGCTTGTTTTTCTGGAAACTCAGCTCTGCGTTCTCCGCCCGCCTCCCCCCCCCCCCCCCGCCGGAAGTGCTTGCTATATTTTTAGCCTCTCTGGTTTCCGCCCCTTTCGCTCCCCCAGCCCCCACCCCAGCGCGCACAGGACGTGGCCGAGTGCCCCGCAGGACCTTGGCCATCCCCCTTCCCCACCGTCATTCCAGAGGGGATTCCCGGCCACTGCCAGGGCCGCGGATTTTCCCCGCTGGCTACGTGGGGAGCGGGGAGGAGTCAGGCCATGAACTTCCTGCTGGGATGCGGGCACCCAAGCGGGGGCTGGATAGGATCCTCCGACTCCTAGGTCTAGAGAATAGGGCCTGGGGCCTGGATCTCTGAGTGTGAGGGGGGAGTGGGACCTGGACACCTAGGTCTGAGGGAGGAGGGCCAGGGGTCTAAGGGAGAGTAAGTGAGGCCCGAACGCCTGGATCTGAAGAGGTCCAGCTCCCACTGCAGATCACGTCTCTGTCTGGATCCCCGGACAGGCTAAGGGGGCAGGAGATAGGGGCCAGGGCTCCCGTGTTGGGGCGGGGGGTAGGAAGAAGCTGAGCCCCTGACCCGGTGTTCTAGGATAAGGACGTATCACCTCGTGAGTCCTACAGCTTAAAGTCGTGATTTCCTGAGGATCGTCACACCTCTGCCCCCTTCCCCCCAGCACCCTTTGGAGAGTGGCTGAGACCCAGTTGGCCAGGCTTTAGTCCCAATGACTCAGCAGATAGAGGAGGGGTCCAGGCTGAGTCAGGGATGGCAAAAGCTCCCAGTCTCCAGGGAATCGAAACTGGAATTACTCCTCCATGATCCAGACCCAGCTGGCCTCCGAAAACCCCAGCATGCCCCACCCCAACCCCCCGTTTGGTCCTAAAATCGGCTGGCTCAGGGATTTGTAAACTGGGCGGGAGGCAAGTTTTTTGGGCCCCTCCTTCCCTTCTTTTCCCGTTGTCCTAGAGACTGTTTACAACAGACTGGATCCCTGGTTACAAGAGAGGAACCCAAGCGTCCCGGCTGAGCGTCCTCGTCACGGCTTCCAGGAAGCCCCCCCTCCCCCGCCCTAAGCGAGTGAGTCACAGGCGAGCGGGAGGCCGCAACCGTGCCACAGCAGCCTGCGGCCCGCCCAGCTCACGGGACCAGCCCGGGAAGGCCCCTTGGCCCCAGAAAGCGATATACCAGGGATTCCCCACCCCCCCCACCCCCGCACCCCGGGCTCCGGTGAGGCAAACCAGTGAGGAGCCTGGCAGAATCTCCCCACCTCAATACAAGTGCGCAACGCACCGTGCAAGAACTTCCCAGCATTGTAATTACACTCCTAAGCAATGATAACCCCCATACACAAACACACTTTTTCACTGAAGATATCCTTGAAGTAACACTTTTTTTTTCACTTGGGTG